CGGCCAGGGGTCCCTGCCAGGCCAGGGGACACGTAGCAACAGCACAGCCATGTCTGTGCCCAACCCGATGACGCACAGAGCCCGTGGCGGCCTCAGCGTGGGGCCCAGGGAGCTCCGAACCTCCCGTCCAGCCAGCGAGTGAGGAGCCCCTCAGTGGAGGGGGCGTGGCAGCAGGAGGGGTCCAGGGCCCCGCCCCCTGAGCTGGCGCGGTCACCCTCACTGTCAGGGACACACCCGGGAGCCTGTAAGAGGGCCATGGGCTGACCCGTCTCCTCAGTTAGTCTGTCTGTCCATCTGTCCTTCCATCCATCCATCCATCCATCCATCCATCCGTCTGTCCGTCTGTTCATCCATCCACCCACCTGTCCCTCCTTCTTCATCCTCAAGTGCGCCACTCAGATACACACTCCACCTGTGAACAGCCCGGCAGATGGAGGGGGCGGGGCCCGCAGGGCCGAGTCCTTCCTCTGCCCCCAACTCCGCCCCCAGTGGTGGCTGCACCCTCACACATGCCAGCGGGGCAGGGAGATGGGGCAGGGCTAGTTTCCCCGATGCACCCCCACAGTCCCCACCGCGTGGCAGGGCAGGACGGGGAGGAGGTGCCGGTCCAGCCGGGAGCCTGCAGGGCACAGACGAGTCTGTCTAGCTCCCGGCTGCACGCCCGGTCCCGCCCGGCTTAAATATTTGTGGGAGGAATGCAGCTGCGGGCAAAGCCCTCCTGGCCGGCGGGCAGCCTTGGCCGGGGTGCCCTGCAGGACAGCCAGGCCCTACCCACGCCCGGTCCTCACGGGCATCTCTCAGGCAAGTCTCTGATTCGGGTTTCTAATTTGGGGAGTGTGGGAACTCATAATGCCTTTTACAAAATAAAACAGTCGCAAGTACACGTGTGAAAGACTGAATGGAATTTTACTTTCTGGCCTCAGCTTGGCCTACAAGTCCCTGCTCAGGCCTGTGCCGGCCGCCTCGCTGCTCCTGGAACACACCCGTCGTCTGTTCCTGCCCCAGGACCTTTGCACGTGCCGTTCTCTTGGATTGACACACACTTCAGCCCTATAACCATCAAGTCTACCCCCGGAATGTTCTTCCTGGTTTCTGTTGAACATCACTTCCCTGACCGCCCCCCCCCCCCCCCCGTCTAAAGTACCCCCCTCTTTCTATCTTAAGGGTGGGCACTTATCCATCCACCTGGCACTATGTCCCCCCGGCGTGGCATACAGTGGGTGCAGTCAGTACGGGCGGGATGGAGGACTGATTTCCGGGTCTCCACGGGTTGGGGAGTCACCAGGAACATGACTATCCAGAGAGTGAGCAACAACCCCACGGTCAAGGCAGGCAGGGCCAGGCCATGTGTGTCTTGGGTGGGGTGCCATCTCGCAGCAGCGGAGCCCGGCCTGTGTCCGTGGGGTGTCGTCCGGGAGGGAGGTCCAGCCCATTAAACAAAAGTGAGGGGGATGGGAGCCGCTTGGAGAAGGGAAGCGTGAGCGAATTTAACATGCACAAAACATACATGCATGTAACATGCGTGTCCTGCATAAGAAACGGTGGTGAGCTGGTGAGGACCCCAGCTTCTAGGGTTTGGGGACAGGCCGCCCACTTTGCCTGGGACTGGGTGTCAGGACGAAGCAGCCGCCCTGCGGGAAGCAGGCTGCGGCCCGGGC